CCCGCTCTTCCCCCCCACCCCACTTCCCCACCCCACGCCATTCCACCACTTCGCATACCCTCCAGTGTTCTCTCCCCACCGCCCATGCCTGCACCGCGCGTGCCTGACGCTCCCATGCCCCCACCGCCCACATCCCCACCACCTGCCATGCCACCATCCCTCACGCCCCCATTCACCAGTTGAGCACCATCAGCCATATCGCCTGCCTGCATGTCTCCATGCATGCTCCCATGGGCCCCATGCGCGTCCACATGTCTGTCAGCACACACATCAGCACGCACATCAGCATGCACGGGGATTTCCTTCACCACCCACTTGAACAGAGGCCGGGGCGGCACGGGCACAGCACGAGCCGCCGCTGCTTCACACTCGGGCACTGCAGCCAACCCACCTGCACCACTTGCCCATGCTGGTGCTGCCACTGCCCTGCTTCCTGCAGCTGCGTCACCTGCAACCATGCCTGCCGCTACAAACCCTTCATCATGTGTCCCTGCACCCCATGTTCCTGCCCCCCCTCCCCTTGCGTCCCCTCCCCCTGCACCCCCTCCCCCTGCACCCTGCGCCCCTGCACCCTGCGCCCCTGCACCCTGCGCCCCTGCACCCTGCGCCCCTGCACCCTGCGCCTCTGCTACCTCCGCACTCCACGTCCCTCCCATGCCCTCCCCTTCCCACATCCCCCTCGCCACCTCTGCTCCTGTCGCACTGCCTTCCACCTTAACACAAGTCCCAGCAGTTGCAGCAGCCGAAGCAGGTGCAGCGGTGGCGAATGGGGGGGTGGTGGCGCCAGGGAATATATCCAATGCATGAGCAGCGATCGGAGCAGCAGCATGCCACGTGGCATGGGGTACCACACTGCATGCTGCACCTGATGCTGCTGCATGCACCACGGCACCATGCCATGTGCTGCCCGCACTGCCCGCCACAGGCGCTGAGGGCAGGGCAGCAGGGGACGAGGGTGACCTTTGAGACGACTCAAAAACTGCAGGGCACGAGGGAGGTGGTCGGTGTGCGGGCACAGGCGCTGCTGCCGCTGCTGCTGACCCTCCCATCTCTTCTCCTCTCGCTGTGTCAACCGCTGCAGCAATAGCAGCAGCAGAAGTATTGGCAGGAAGAGGAGCATCAGCAGCCGCAACTGGCAATGCCGGCTTTGGGACGTTGTTACCCACTCCATCCACACTCTCCGGGCCCTCTCCTCCCTTCTGACTTCCCTTCTCCAATCCGTTCTCCCCTTCCTTCTCCCTCCTCTCCTTCTCCGTCCCCTTCTCCCCTCCCGCATTCCTCCACGCCTGCCGCCTCTTGGCCCCCTTGGAAGCAGCAGAGCAGGCAGAAGGTGCCGGGCAGCGTTCAGGGCTGGTAAAGGGCGCCGTGTGAGGCTCGCAGATGTGGGGAGGGGCGTGCTGGGGGGCATGTTGGGAGGAGAGCTTGGGAGAGGGGGGCGGGGGCGTGGGCGAGGAAGCAGCAGCAGCAGGGAGTGGGTGATTAGTGGGCTGCGAGGCAGGGACCGGGGTGGGAGAGGAGGGAGGGGTTGCAAAGGGTGGAACGGCATGTGGCACGGCAGGTGGGGAAGCGGGAACATGGGGAGCAGGCGGGGCAGAGGGGGCAGCGGAGGGGGCATGTGGGTGGAAAGGGGCGGGAGGTTTGGCAGCAGGCGAGGTGGCAGCAGCAGCGGCGGTGGCGTTGACTTGGGAGACGGCGTGGGAGAGGGCGAGGGAGAGGCGGCGCTGCATCATGTGCTGCACCGCTGCTGCTGCCGCTGCTGTGGTGGCTGCTGAAAAGTGCGACGGGTGCGCGGCAGCAGGCAGGGGGTGAGAGGCAGGAGGCACCGGGTGTGCTGATGCTGGGACAGCTGAGGCGTCACCTGCTGCTTCATGGGGTTGGGCAGATGCAGTGGTTGGGGTGGGTGGTGGCTTGCTAGTGCCCTTATCATTCGCAGCAACCGCCCTATCATCGGCAGAAGCACTGCTATTAGTGGCAGCCGTACCACCTTCCCCATGTCCACTAGGATCACCCGCTGCAGCATCGCCAGCAACTGTCGCGGCTGCAGCAGCTGCAGGAGAAACAGCAGCAGGTGGAGTAGCAGCAGCAGCTGCTGCTCCTGCACCATGTGGTGAACCGCCCGCGTCTCCACCCCCTTGAGGCCGACAGCCCGGCCCACCCATGGCTGCAGCGGCCGCTGCCATTGCTGCCGCTGCTGCTGGCCCCTGCTGCTGCTGCATCAGCAGGGAAGCAGGGTCCGGGGGAAACGCGAGGCGAAGCGGCAGAGGCAGGTAGTGGAAGGGGAAGTGGCAGGCCAGCGGCAGCAGGTGACACAACTGGGGTGGTACGTTCATGCCCATGCCCATGCCCATGCCCATACCCATGCCCATGCCCATGCCTAGGTTTCCCCCCAGGGCGAGGTTCATGGTGAGAGGCAGTGAGAGCGACTGCAGGTGCGGCAGGGTCTGCAGGTGCGGCAGCGATTGCAGGTGGCGGAGGGTGTGTGCGAGCAGAGGCATGCTGGCTGCTGCTGCCGCCGCAGCGGCGGAATCAGCAGCAGCAGAGGAGGGGGCAGTGGGATGCGAAGCAGCAGGGCCAGAGGCAGAGGCTGAAGCGGCCGCAGCAGGAGAAGGGTGAGAGGGAGCGGAGGAACAGGTCCCAGCAGCAGCAGCTTCTGCCAGAGAGGAGGTGTGGCGCTGGGGTAGCTGTGAAGCAGCACCAGCTGCTCCTGCTGTGGCAGTTGGGCTTCTGGCAACTGCTGCTGCCGCCGCCGCTGCTGCTGCTGCCACAGCTGCTGCAGCAGACGCTGCAGCCCGTGCAACCGCACCGTTGCCCCCCTCTCCTGCTGCTCCTCCCGCACCCTCTGCAGCCAAAGCCACCCTGCCATGCCCGCGCCTGCCCTTCCCTGCCCTGTGCACCCGCCCTTCCCGCCCCTCCCTTCCCCACCTGCCCGGCCATGGCCCCCCGCGCCCGTCGCAGGAGAGAGCAGCGCCGCGGCGGCGGGGGTGGAGGGGCGGCAGGCCCCACAGGGCGGAGAGGGCGGCGCTCAGCCGCTGCACCTCCGCGTCCCTGTGCCTGCGCAGCCGGCCAATGAGCGCAGAGAAGCTGTGGGGGGGAGGGGAGAGAGGAGGGGAGGAAAGAGAGGAGGGGAGCGGAGAGCGGAGGGGAGGGGGAGGGCAGGGACGCGAACAGGGACTCTGATCGATCCATGCAGCACAACGGGACGGCAAGGGATGAAGGGGATGAAGTGACGCATGCAATGATGCAAGGCCGATCAGTATGTACCATGTGGCATGCGGGTGGACGCGAGCCAAGCACCAGCAGCATAAGGAAGGAGCGCGGCAGCATGCGCACCTCTCATTGGCAGTGGGTGGGACGGCATGAGCGGCCTGCAGGGAGAGGGCAGCGGTGGCGTGCAGGTGGTGTGCCACTCGCAGCAGCTTCCTCAGAATGGCCACTCGCTCCCTCTCGTGCTGCAGCTTCCGCCCCAAGATCTGGAGCACGTTCAACCCTGAAAGGAGGCGGGGAAAGGGCGGGGGGGGAAGGGGGAGGGGGGGGGTTGGAGGGTGACTTTCGAGTCCACTCAAAAGTCTCAGAATGGCCACTCACTCCCTCTCGTGCTGCAGCTTGCGCCCCAGGATCTGCAGCACGTTCAGCCCTGGGGAAGTGTGGGGGGAAAGAGGGGAGGGGGTAAGGCGGGCCCCATGGGGGAAGGAGATGGAGAGTAAGGCAGGGATAAATGGGCCCGAAAAGGGTCGGAAGGAGTTAAGTGAGGATGGAAGGGATAGGCAGCAGAGGAGGCGATTCTGGCAGGCACGAATGGGAGAGGACAGCTACGGGGTGCAGAAGGAGGCATCGGGCATCGCTTGATGAGGTGTGCAGGAATGCCTACTTCTGTGTGGGCGCAAGAAAAGTAGTGAAGGGACCCACCATTGGTGGCAATGATGTGTTTGAGAAGTGTTCTTGATGAGGTGCGCAGCAGTGCCTCCAGCAGCAGCGACACCTCCTTGGCACTGCATGGGGGGCACGCACACGCACGGCAGTCATGCACACGCACACGCACATGCTCATGGGTTGTGGTGTGCAGCGGTGATAAAAAGAACAGTCATGCCAGCCAGTGAAAGTGTGCAAAGCAAGAGCCGAAGTGCAGAACATGCGAGGCGTATGGCACATGCCTGGATGCCGGGAGTAAGGCATAGCATGACGTCACCATTTACCACCATACCCCACCACCACACCCCACCACCAGAGCCCCCACCTGGCGCGGCTCAAAGCCCACCCACCTGAAGTTGGGGACGCCCGAGGAGAAGTCGCCACAGGAGGTGGCTCGCATGAGCAGCCGCACAAAGGATCGTGCCGTGCTCTGCGGGCCATGGGGGGGAGGTTGGGCGAGGAGAGTTCGGGAGGAAGAAAAGAAAGGAGGCGATACGAGGGAGTGAGGTTGAAACTTGAAAACAGGGAGGGAAGGGTATGGTATGGAAGACTAGAGTGTAGAAAGAAGGCGTGGCTTCCGTGCGGTTGAGAGGGAAGGAAGGAGACGGGGAAGGATAAGGGCAGGGAGACAAGGAGGAACGAGAGTGGGAGAGAGAGCGGCGGAAGGGCAGCCCACCTTGCCCTTGATGAGCGCATCGTTGCCGTCCAGTAGCAGCTCCAATGCCTCCTCCACTGCTCTCATGCACACACGCACATGGGGAGGTGCATGGGTAATGCGTGAGGGACGGATGAGATGCATGGGTGAGGTGCATGGGAAGATGCATGGCTGGATGCATGGCTGGATGCATGGCTGGGTGCATGGCTGGGTGCATGGCTGGAGGTGTACGGTAATGTATAATTGCACAATCTCAGCATGGGCCAGCACACGGCAGCACATGCCACCACGGGCAGAGGAGCAGCTCACCATCGGAGTGGAAGAGCACCCCCTGGCACGCCGCTACCACATACTCCGCCGGTGCAATGCATGGCGCACACACTCAGCTCGGGCAGCACATGCCAGCACATGTCACTCGCACAGCACACACCACAGGCAGCAGAGCAGCTCACCATCGGAGTGGAAGAGCACCCCCTGGCACGCCGCTACCACATACTCCGCCGGCGCTGCCTGAACCTCCCCCGCCCCCGCTCCCCCCCCTGCTGCTTCCGCCACCAGGTCAAACCCATGCCCATGTGCCCCGCTCTCCTCGCCTCCCCACACCTCCCTGTGCCCCTCCTCCCTCTCCCCGCCCCTCTCCCCACCCTGTCGCCACACCCTCTCACCCAGACCTGCCACCTTCCGCAGCCTCCGCCTCTTGGCATGCCGCATGCCCCCCTCCCCGTCCTCCACACATGCTTCCCCCTCCCCCTCCCCTTCCCGTTCCCCATCCCCTTCCCATTCGCCCCCTTCCAACCACACCCGCTCCCCCTCCCCCTCGTCCTCCCCGCCCCGCCCCTCCCTCTCCCCCTGCTGCGTCCCCCGGCCATGTCTTGGTCCCTGCTCTCCCGCCCCCCCCTGCACGCTTCTCCCCTCGCGCCCTGCAGCCACCCCTCCCTGAAGAGACCCAGACCGCGCAGAGGGGGATGGGAGGGGGCGCGCATGGGCGGGGGGGGAGCGCGGGGAGGAGAGGAGCCAGGGGGAGGGCGCAGGGCGGAGCGACCTGGGGTGGGGGAGGGCCAGGCGGGACCTCGCCCGCTTGCCCTCCCAGGCCAGGCGCGCACACCCACTGCCCTCTCTCCCCTCCTCTCCATGCCTTCCCCCCTCACCCATATGCATGCCCTCCCGCCTGCACCCGTACTCCTCTGCTCCCTCCTCCTCGCTCCCCTCCCCTGACCCGTACACCTCCTCCCACTCACTCTCACTCCCCGACTCGCTCTCACTCTCACCCTCACTCCCACTCTCACTCTCACTCTCACTCCCATCATCACTCTCACTCTCTGATCCCTCCTCCTCCGCCTCACACTCCCTGCCCAGCCCAATCGTTCTCTCACTAATCACCATCTGCTGCCCCTCCCTCTCCTCCCCTTCTCTCCCTCCGACTTCTTCCTCCTCCTCCTCTTCCTCCTCCTCCTCCACCTCCTCGGCCACAGCTCGCTGCACAGCAGGGCGCACGCGTGGCTTCTTGAGCTCAGCGCCGCCCAGCACGCCGCGGCAGGACTGGCTGCCGCAGTAGCAGCGCGTGGGGCGCGCCCCCACAAAGCGCTCGTAGTTGTAATCAAACGACAGCTCCTCGCCCTGCAGAGAGCGGGAGGAGAGCCGGGAAGGAGGGTGGAAAAGGAGTGAGGGAAAGGTGGCTGCCTCAGTAGCAGCGCGTGGGGCGCGCCCCCACAAAGCGCTCGTAGTTGTAGTCGAATGACAGCTCCTCGCCCTGAGGGGAGGAGAGCATAGAAAAAGGTGGGGAAAGAGGGGGGGGGGGAGGAGGGGGGGGAGAGGGAGGGAGGGAGGGGACATGTGGGTTGGGGGAGGAGGGGGGGCAATGCTTGAGGCGGGCTATAAAACCGCCCACAAAGCGCTCTTAAATGATAGCTCCTCGCCATAATTGAGGTCGGAGTTCTTGCGGTGAGTCAACGGGGAAGTTGAAAGCGACGAGGAGACGAAGGCGCGCAAGTACATGTCAGCGGCAGGAGCAGGGACAGGGGAAGAGGCAGGAGCAGGAGCAGGAGCAGGGGCAGGGGCAGGAGCAGGAGCAGGGGCAGGGGCAGGAGCAGGGACAGGGGAAGAGGCAGGGGCAGGAGCAGGAGCAGGGGCAGGGGCAGGAGCAGGGGCAGGAGCAGGAGCAGGGGCAGGAGCAGGAGCAGGGGCAGGGGCAGGAGCAGGGGCAGGGGCAGGAGCAGGGGCAGGGGCAGGAGCAGGAGCAGGAGCAGGGGCAGGAGCAGGAGCAGGGGCAGGAGCAGGAGCAGGGGCAGGGGCAGGAGCAGGGGCAGGAGCAGGAGCAGGGGCAGGGGAAGAGGCAGGGGCAGGAGCAGGAGCAGGGGCAGGGACAGGGGGAGGGTCGGGGAGGAGGGGACTCACCGCTTTGATGGGGCGCAGGGAGAAGAGCCCAATGCGCAGCTCGCCCCGCACCATCCACTGCAGGTGACACACGGGGGTGAGAGACGACAGGACGATGGGGACAGACACGAATTGTGGGGGAGACAGCAGAGGAGAGGACAGGAGAGGTGAGAAGAGCCCAATGCGCAGCTCGCCCCGCACCATCCACTGCAGCCCCACACGGCGGTGAGAGGCAACAGGGCGATGGGGACAGGCATGAGTGGTGGGGGGAACGGGAGTTGAGAGGACGGGAGAGGTGATGAGAGGGCGTGGGTGATGAGGATGAAGATGGTGGCGCATGCAGATGTGAGCGCAGGCAAGATGCGATGGGAAGCAGGCAGGGCAGGCTGGCAGGCAAGCAGTCCATCTGCACGGACTCAACCCTGTGTCAGCCCACGCACATGCCAACCCAGTCGATCCAATCAGCCCAATCAGTGAGCACGCACCTTCTCAAGACAGCAGTTGGGCTCGCAGCTGTGGTTGAGGAAGCGCGAGAAGTTGCCCTTGCGGCATGCGTCTATCACCTGCCCGTGTGCGCAGGGGGAAGGCATGGCGGGCATAGGCGCATGAAAGGGGGGGGGAAGGGGAGCAGGAGGTGCATGGGGTGCCGGAGGGGCATATGTCAGCAGGAGGTGCATGGGGTGCCGGAGGGGCATATGTCAGCAGGAGGTGCATGGGGTGCCGGAGGGGCATATGTCAGCAGGAGGTGCATGGGGTGCCGGAGGGGCATATGTCAGCAGGAGGTGCATGGGGTGCCGGAGGGGCATATGTCAGCAGGAGGTGCATGGGGTGCCGGAGGGGCATATGTCAGCAGGAGGTGCATGGGGTGCCGGAGGGGCATATGTCAGCAGGAGGTGCATGGGGTGCCGGAGGGGCATATGTCAGCAGGAGGTGCATGGGGTGCCGGAGGGGCATATGTCAGCAGGAGGTGCATGGGGTGCCGGAGGGGCATATGTCAGCAGGAGGTGCATGGGGTGCCGGAGGGGCATATGTCAGCAGGAGGTGCATGGGGTGCCGGAGGGGCATATGTCAGCAGGAGGTGCATGGGGTGCCGGAGGGGCATATGTCAGCAGGAGGTGCATGGGGTGCCGGAGGGGCATATGTCAGCAGGAGGTGCATGGGGTGCCGGAGGGGCATATGTCAGCAGGAGGTGCATGGGGTGCCGGAGGGGCATATGTCAGCAGGAGGTGCATGGGGTGCCGGAGGGGCATATGTCAGCAGGAGGTGCATGGGGTGCCGGAGGGGCATATGTCAGCAGGAGGTGCATGGGGTGCCGGAGGGGCATATGTCAGCAGGAGGTGCATGGGGTGCCGGAGGGGCATATGTCAGCAGGAGGTGCATGGGGTGCCGGAGGGGCATATGTCAGCAGGAGGTGCATGGGGTGCCGGAGGGGCATATGTCAGCAGGAGGTGCATGGGGTGCCGGAGGGGCATATGTCAGCAGGAGGTGCATGGGGTGCCGGAGGGGCATATGTCAGCAGGAGGTGCATGGGGTGCCGGAGGGGCATATGTCAGCAGGAGGTGCATGGGGTGCCGGAGGGGCATATGTCAGCAGGAGGTGCATGGGGTGCCGGAGGGGCATATGTCAGCAGGAGGTGCATGGGGTGCCGGAGGGGCATATGTCAGCAGGAGGTGCATGGGGTGCCGGAGGGGCATATGTCAGCAGGAGGTGCATGGGGTGCCGGAGGGGCATATGTCAGCAGGAGGTGCATGGGGTGCCGGAGGGGCATATGTCAGCAGGAGGTGCATGGGGTGCCGGAGGGGCATATGTCAGCAGGAGGTGCATGGGGTGCCGGAGGGGCATATGTCAGCAGGAGGTGCATGGGGTGCCGGAGGGGCATATGTCAGCAGGAGGTGCATGGGGTGCCGGAGGGGCATATGTCAGCAGGAGGTGCATGGGGTGCCGGAGGGGCATATGTCAGCAGGAGGTGCATGGGGTGCCGGAGGGGCATATGTCAGCAGGAGGTGCATGGGGTGCCGGAGGGGCATATGTCAGCAGGAGGTGCATGGGGTGCCGGAGGGGCATATGTCAGCAGGAGGTGCATGGGGTGCCGGAGGGGCATATGTCAGCAGGAGGTGCATGGGGTGCCGGAGGGGCATATGTCAGCAGGAGGTGCATGGGGTGCCGGAGGGGCATATGTCAGCAGGAGGTGCATGGGGTGCCGGAGGGGCATATGTCAGCAGGAGGTGCATGGGGTGCCGGAGGGGCATATGTCAGCAGGAGGTGCATGGGGTGCCGGAGGGGCATATGTCAGCAGGAGGTGCATGGGGTGCCGGAGGGGCATATGTCAGCAGGAGGTGCATGGGGTGCCGGAGGGGCATATGTCAGCAGGAGGTGCATGGGGTGCCGGAGGGGCATATGTCAGCAGGAGGTGCATGGGGTGCCGGAGGGGCATATGTCAGCAGGAGGTGCATGGGGTGCCGGAGGGGCATATGTCAGCAGGAGGTGCATGGGGTGCCGGAGGGGCATATGTCAGCAGGAGGTGCATGGGGTGCCGGAGGGGCATATGTCAGCAGGAGGTGCATGGGGTGCCGGAGGGGCATATGTCAGCAGGAGGTGCATGGGGTGCCGGAGGGGCATATGTCAGCAGGAGGTGCATGGGGTGCCGGAGGGGCATATGTCAGCAGGAGGTGCATGGGGTGCCGGAGGGGCATATGTCAGCAGGAGGTGCATGGGGTGCCGGAGGGGCATATGTCAGCAGGAGGTGCATGGGGTGCCGGAGGGGCATATGTCAGCAGGAGGTGCATGGGGTGCCGGAGGGGCATATGTCAGCAGGAGGTGCATGGGGTGCCGGAGGGGCATATGTCAGCAGGAGGTGCATGGGGTGCCGGAGGGGCATATGTCAGCAGGAGGTGCATGGGGTGCCGGAGGGGCATATGTCAGCAGGAGGTGCATGGGGTGCCGGAGGGGCATATGTCAGCAGGAGGTGCATGGGGTGCCGGAGGGGCATATGTCAGCAGGAGGTGCATGGGGTGCCGGAGGGGCATATGTCAGCAGGAGGTGCATGGGGTGCCGGAGGGGCATATGTCAGCAGGAGGTGCATGGGGTGCCGGAGGGGCATATGTCAGCAGGAGGTGCATGGGGTGCCGGAGGGGCATATGTCAGCAGGAGGTGCATGGGGTGCCGGAGGGGCATATGTCAGCAGGAGGTGCATGGGGTGCCGGAGGGGCATATGTCAGCAGGAGGTGCATGGGGTGCCGGAGGGGCATATGTCAGCAGGAGGTGCATGGGGTGCCGGAGGGGCATATGTCAGCAGGAGGTGCATGGGGTGCCGGAGGGGCATATGTCAGCAGGAGGTGCATGGGGTGCCGGAGGGGCATATGTCAGCAGGAGGTGCATGGGGTGCCGGAGGGGCATATGTCAGCAGGAGGTGCATGGGGTGCCGGAGGGGCATATGTCAGCAGGAGGTGCATGGGGTGCCGGAGGGGCATATGTCAGCAGGAGGTGCATGGGGTGCCGGAGGGGCATATGTCAGCAGGAGGTGCATGGGGTGCCGGAGGGGCATATGTCAGCAGGAGGTGCATGGGGTGCCGGAGGGGCATATGTCAGCAGGAGGTGCATGGGGTGCCGGAGGGGCATATGTCAGCAGGAGGTGCATGGGGTGCCGGAGGGGCATATGTCAGCAGGAGGTGCATGGGGTGCCGGAGGGGCATATGTCAGCAGGAGGTGCATGGGGTGCCGGAGGGGCATATGTCAGCAGGAGGTGCATGGGGTGCCGGAGGGGCATATGTCAGCAGGAGGTGCATGGGGTGCCGGAGGGGCATATGTCAGCAGGAGGTGCATGGGGTGCCGGAGGGGCATATGTCAGCAGGAGGTGCATGGGGTGCCGGAGGGGCATATGTCAGCAGGAGGTGCATGGGGTGCCGGAGGGGCATATGTCAGCAGGAGGTGCATGGGGTGCCGGAGGGGCATATGTCAGCAGGAGGTGCATGGGGTGCCGGAGGGGCATATGTCAGCAGGAGGTGCATGGGGTGCCGGAGGGGCATATGTCAGCAGGAGGTGCATGGGGTGCCGGAGGGGCATATGTCAGCAGGAGGTGCATGGGGTGCCGGAGGGGCATATGTCAGCAGGAGGTGCATGGGGTGCCGGAGGGGCATATGTCAGCAGGAGGTGCATGGGGTGCCGGAGGGGCATATGTCAGCAGGAGGTGCATGGGGTGCCGGAGGGGCATATGTCAGCAGGAGGTGCATGGGGTGCCGGAGGGGCATATGTCAGCAGGAGGTGCATGGGGTGCCGGAGGGGCATATGTCAGCAGGAGGTGCATGGGGTGCCGGAGGGGCATATGTCAGCAGGAGGTGCATGGGGTGCCGGAGGGGCATATGTCAGCAGGAGGTGCATGGGGTGCCGGAGGGGCATATGTCAGCAGGAGGTGCATGGGGTGCCGGAGGGGCATATGTCAGCAGGAGGTGCATGGGGTGCCGGAGGGGCATATGTCAGCAGGAGGTGCATGGGGTGCCGGAGGGGCATATGTCAGCAGGAGGTGCATGGGGTGCCGGAGGGGCATATGTCAGCAGGAGGTGCATGGGGTGCCGGAGGGGCATATGTCAGCAGGAGGTGCATGGGGTGCCGGAGGGGCATATGTCAGCAGGAGGTGCATGGGGTGCCGGAGGGGCATATGTCAGCAGGAGGTGCATGGGGTGCCGGAGGGGCATATGTCAGCAGGAGGTGCATGGGGTGCCGGAGGGGCATATGTCAGCAGGAGGTGCATGGGGTGCCGGAGGGGCATATGTCAGCAGGAGGTGCATGGGGTGCCGGAGGGGCATATGTCAGCAGGAGGTGCATGGGGTGCCGGAGGGGCATATGTCAGCAGGAGGTGCATGGGGTGCCGGAGGGGCATATGTCAGCAGGAGGTGCATGGGGTGCCGGAGGGGCATATGTCAGCAGGAGGTGCATGGGGTGCCGGAGGGGCATATGTCAGCAGGAGGTGCATGGGGTGCCGGAGGGGCATATGTCAGCAGGAGGTGCATGGGGTGCCGGAGGGGCATATGTCAGCAGGAGGTGCATGGGGTGCCGGAGGGGCATATGTCAGCAGGAGGTGCATGGGGTGCCGGAGGGGCATATGTCAGCAGGAGGTGCATGGGGTGCCGGAGGGGCATATGTCAGCAGGAGGTGCATGGGGTGCCGGAGGGGCATATGTCAGCAGGAGGTGCATGGGGTGCCGGAGGGGCATATGTCAGCAGGAGGTGCATGGGGTGCCGGAGGGGCATATGTCAGCAGGAGGTGCATGGGGTGCCGGAGGGGCATATGTCAGCAGGAGGTGCATGGGGTGCCGGAGGGGCATATGTCAGCAGGAGGTGCATGGGGTGCCGGAGGGGCATATGTCAGCAGGAGGTGCATGGGGTGCCGGAGGGGCATATGTCAGCAGGAGGTGCATGGGGTGCCGGAGGGGCATATGTCAGCAGGAGGTGCATGGGGTGCCGGAGGGGCATATGTCAGCAGGAGGTGCATGGGGTGCCGGAGGGGCATATGTCAGCAGGAGGTGCATGGGGTGCCGGAGGGGCATATGTCAGCAGGAGGTGCATGG